GGAAGGTTGTCGTGAGGAAAAAATGCAACAGCAGTGGGGTGGGCATGTGTGTCAGGAGCAGTTGGTGAGATGCTCACCAGTGCTGTCTGAGGGCAGAGCTGTGAGGGTGCCAGCCAGGACTTGAGAGCTGAGCTTCCTCCCAGCAACAGCACCGAGCCAAACCTCACTCCCCAGTGCAGGCACTGGCCTCAACAAGGCTCCATGCCAGCCAGGGTCCCAGGCATGAGGAATTCTGTGCTACAGTTGGGAATCTCCTGTAGATCCCATGACTGGGCTGCCCTGCAGCAGGCAGCAGTGTGAACTGGCTTAGCTGAGCATCTCTGGTATAATTCCCTTCCTACAGTCCTGTCAGTGCCAGGAAGGGCTCAGGACAGAGAAAAACCATGGCTTGGTCAGTGACCTCCTCAAGGAACTAGTCAGATTTGAGCAGCTCTTGCTTGAAGATCTGGGGAAGTGTCCACTGGTACATATTACTAGTTTAAGGGGAGCCTGTATCACAAACACCTGGGCTAAAGTGAGGACTCTGCAGTCAGATTTGAGCATTAGAGAGGGAGGTGTATGGCGGGGTGCAGAACTGCACTAAATATTCCCCAAAATTCTGTTTTCTCTTTGTTAGAGCTCACATAAACCATTAGATGCAGTACTGGGAAAGCTTTACCTTAAGTGAAGTCTTACCTTGTATGGAGAACATCACTGTCAAGTGAACTGTGTCAGTTTTTAATGTTGAGCTCCATTTCACCTGCACTGATATATTTTCTTGGATATTTAATGGACTGAACAAATATATTCCCAGCAGGGCACAATGCTTCAACAATTTTATTAGCATATATCATCTATTTATCAATTCTTTAAAATATTTTAGCTTTGCACTCAACTATTCTGCATGAGAGTAATCATCAGAGTTCTTAATTTCTGGTTGTTAATAAGGGAAAAAAATCCAAAGTTCCATACTAGGGGAAGCATTCAGACAAATATTTGTATCACACTTTGAAGATCAAAACTAGGAAGTTCCATCTAAGTGCAAGGGAATATACAAGATACTAAGGCTTTGAGACTTTCAGAAGTGTGAATATTTTATGTTTGCTTTAGTAGGAGAGAGGTGTCCAACTCTTGGAAAGCTTTCTCCTAAAGCACAGGAGTGCTGGGGATATTTATGTTCATCCAAGTGATTTCTAACTGTCTGACAGACTCCAAACTGGGATGGCAGGCAGGGTGATCACGGTGTCCCCTCACCTGGGAAGGCTGAGGTGAGGCAGCCCTTTGTAAAGATGTTTTCCAAAGCTTTTGTAAACAAGCTGTGTGTCTCTTACACTTCAGGCCAGGCTAACAAATTGAGATGAACTACAGCAGCTCTGTGAAGGCTGGCTCTGCACACACAGGGGCCTGAGCTGATTTATCTTGATGTTTGGTTGAATTCTTCGCATTTTGGGTCCCTTCTATAACCTTTTCACCTCGTTCTTTTTTAAGGTGGCTGCCTGGCTGTTACAATTTATCATGAACGCATCTCACTTCATTTCTGGCTCCTCTGACGGAAGGAACAGCCGGTCTCCGGGAGGTCAAAGACATTATTTTCCCTTAGTCTTTCTCAGTTTCCAGCACGTATTTGTCACTTTGAAAAAGCATGAATTCTGGATTTGATGCACTTTAATTGATTTCACCCTCAACAAGTCCAACTGTCCATCAACCTTTCCTTTTTCTTTCCTCTCCCCCTTCTTCATTTGTTTCCTCTGTCCCTTTGCTTTGAGAGTGATGTTTTCACCCGCCTGCATGTTGGAGCTGTTGCAAAGCCCATGACCCTAGCAAGGCTTACTGTCACTAGCCATTGCTCTCATTTTCCTTTTCTTCCAAGTTGAGCTTTGCATGCTGACTGAGAATGAAGTGGGAGTACTGGTCTTGTAATATCTCAGTGATGTGCTCCTTGTAAAAGTGAAAGTGGTGGCTGACGGTCCACTTATTTTGAGACAACTGTGTACAATTGGAAATGTGAGGGAATTAATTCAGTATATGCTGTGTTGGTATTTAAAGCAATCTGCAGTGTTATAGCAGAGATGAATGTGCTGTTTTCTTCTTTCCTCCTGGAAGGATGTGTATTTCCAGTGCTATGCATATATCCAGGGTTGTGTGGTTGTAAATTCAGTGTGTAATGTGGCATCATCACCCCATAAATGGAGATCATAGAATCATAGAACATCCTGAGTTGCAAGGGGTCCACAAGGACCATCCCAAAAACTGGTGAATTCTTCTGGCACAAGTGACAATACAGAATGGGTGTGTAACAACGTGTCCTTTGCACAGAAATCCTTAGAGTGTGTGCTGGAAACCAGGGGCTGCTTATAGTGGAAGCTGAAAGAGTCACAGGTGTTCTTCTGGGTGCTGTCATTGCATCCTGGATGCTGTCAGGACATGGAGCAGGGAACAGGCTTCTGTGTGCAGCAGAGGAGAGATTCCAAGTTCTCTGCTCTATTATGAGGTGTTCACCCGAGCTCTGCAGGGACAAGGGTGTTCCTGGGGCTGGTGTGCACTCGGGGACCAGAACTGGCTCATGACACGTTGTGTGAGTGTTCTCAAGCCGTAGCCAAGGACTGCAGCCCCTCTCCCGCCGTGTGCCCGGCGCTGGGCTCGGAGCGAGCCGGGAACTGCTGTCCATGGTCCTGGGTGAGCAGCCGGAGCGCTGGGGCTCGGCCCGGGCAGAGTGAGCATCCCTGCATCCATCCCTCCCTCCCTCTCTCCCTGTGCCACACCGTGTCAGGTGTGCCACACCTGTGTCCTTCAAGGAGTTACCGAGGGCTTCCACTGGTGCTTGTGGAGCTCCTGCTGACCCTTTCCTTCCTTGCCGCTGCCACAGGGTGGGTTTAGGTGAGTTCTTGGGGAAAAGCTCTTCCTTGTGAGGGTGCTGAGGCCTTGGCACAGGTTTTCCAGAGAAGCCCTGGCCCTCTGGAAGTGTCAAAGGCCAGGTTGGACAGAGGGTTTTTAAAAGACATATAGATATGCACTTGGGGACATGGGTTAGTGGTGGCCTTGGCAGTGCTGAGGGAATAGTTGGACTCTATCTTAAAGGTCTTTTCCAACTTTAATGATTCTGTATTCTACCAAGAATAGTAAAAGCTGAGGAAAATACTTTAAGGTAACCCAGCATGACAATTCTGGAGCTTGGAATGCCACAGACCCAATCTTCCTATCCCTGAGATGTGCATTTTGCAAGCAGCAAACACTAGCACTGCATTGTGGCTGCTTTTAATGAAATATCAGGTAACCTCAGGGTTCTGGGAATGTTCAGCTGATATTGGAATCATTTGAAGATGTAGGCTCAGGTTTGATACTTGGATTGGGATTTAGATGAAGATCAGCCTTAAAACAGTCTAGTTCAAGTCTAGTGTTAGGAGCACCCAGCTCTAGGATTCTCTTTGGTGGAAATCCAGAGTTTTTAAGCAGTTTTTGTGTCCCCTGTGCTGTATCAGCTCTGAAGAAGCCCTTGTTCCTGAGCAGCCCCACATCCTCAGCCAGCCACACTTTCCTCTCCCAGCCCAACCCCAGGAGCCAGTGGGATGGGAATTTTCCCAGGTGTTTCCAGGGATGCTGCACAACCATGGTTTGGCAAAGCTGTGGAAGTATTCAGAACACCGATTTTAATGGACAGGCAAATGAGGAGGAGGAGGCAGAGCTCGTGAGAAGGTGATGCAGAGCAATTGCATTACACAGTTGATGATTTCAGTCTGAAGAGCTCTGAATTCCCCTCCAAAGTCTTCTCTTGGGAGTCTTAGTTCTTAAGTTGAATGACTAATTAGGGCCTGTTCACACCACAGATCAGCCAAACAAGGCAAACTCTTAAGAGCTAATGCTGCTTACTTGCTCCCAGAGGAAGCTGAAGGTCTTAGGATCTTGCAGAGGCATTTTCTCCTTGGAAATCTGTGCCTGCTGCCAGGAGAATTTAGGTGGGGAAGAAGCAAAGAAAAATCCTCTCCCATCAGCAGACAGAGCCTGTATCAATCCTTCTCTCAGGCTAGTTTCTTTGCCTTGTTTTTCCTCTGCTTGAACATCTTGTTTAGTGGGAGAAAAAATGTGAAACTAAGTGCCCCACACTGAGAGATGCTGGGCACCCAGCAGGACCCTGACCTCCCTTGTAGGTGACAAATTGGATGGCATGTCAGCTGAGGAGGGAGGGAGGGGCAAGGCTCACGGGCTGGGGGGTAAAGTTACAAAGCCAACATCTGTTCTGAGGGTCTGCATGGGCTGCAGGCCTTAGGGGGAATGGCCTGGGGTCACTGCAGGACAAAGCTGGGAGTGTGCATGGGGTGGGTCTGGGGGGTATAGAATAGGTGCAGATACAGAAAATAGATCCTGAGGGGTTGCTTGTGGAGGCATAGAAGGTGCAGAATGAGTCTTCAGAAGGAGCAATGATGTGCTCATCTGTGAGGTACAAAAATCTGGGTTTGGTTTTCTTATCTCAGGGCCCCACAGGAATTAGTCATCCCTGAGTAATGGAGGGAAGCAAAGCTGTTATTCATCCTTCCCAAAGTCCCTCCTCTGATCATCTCCTACATTTATATCATCTATCTCTGACTTGTATCTTCCTTGCTATTTAGCCCCATGAGCCACTGCAAGAAAAAAATTTAAAATTCGGTAGGACTGGCAGTCTGAAATCATCAGGAGAGATGATGTGCCACAGCTTCCATAGAGGAGCAAGAGCCTGGGCAATGGCATCTCTCCTGCACCCAGCTTTGAGATTTTGCCCCAAATGCCTTCTGTCATCTCAGCAGATCCCATTCTTTTTGCTTTAATTGATTCTGTCTGTCTTTAACCTGATGTGAGAAGAGACCTCCCACAGTGAGCACTGAGAGCTGGTTTGTGCATGGGGAGCTGTGAGAAGCACAAGGTTATTTTATTGAAAAAGGGAGACAAGGATGTTTTGGGAAGGACCCTACCTTCTGTAAACCCATTAACAATTGAAATGAGGCCTTTCAATTCTGTACAGGGTTTGTGGGAAGTGCTTGTGCAACTGGAAAGCAAAGAGCTGTAATAATAATTGTGCATTATAGCCATGTGCAGGGTTTCCTGAAGTCATGCACAGTTGGGTTGGCTCTATGCAGTGGGAGACAGTCCTGGGGATCTGGAGGAAAGGAGAAGGGAATGGGTATGGCTGTGCTCACCCCAACTGCATGATGGCAGAGATGAGAATAAATAGGGAAGTTGAAAAGGAAACCTGCATTGTGAGTCTGCTCAGCCAAAGTCTAAACAGTTGAGGAGTTTGTTTTATCAAATCAAAATATTTTGGTTGAGTGGTGGTGTTGGCTTGAGTCAGTGTGTCTGGGCTGACACAGTGCTGGAGAAACACTCAGGTTTGAGGGGTTGGATCCCTGTCACTGGGGTTCAGGAGCTCTGAAGCCATAGGAGAGGGGGATGTTGCTCATTGTGGCCAGGGGAGGCTGGATGGGAGCAATCCCATTTCCCATGGCTTGGGTTTAGTGTTCAGATATTTTAAGGCCTCTTCAAAGCTGCTCTGAGGCCTTGTTGAGTCTGATTAAGTGTGCTGCTGCTTGGACCACAAATAAGGGTTTTAAGTGGAATGGGAAGATTTTTGAGGGAAAACAGATGAATAACTATGGGGAGTTAATTATCTGCAAACTCCTGAAATGGCATGAGTAATAAAATATAGATAGGTACACACTCCTATCATACCATTAGTGGTCTGTGTCTCTGTGTCAGGGAATGATGTGCAAGACAATACTCCAAAATACAAAATCACTGTCTGCCAGCACTGAAGGTTCAGCTCTTTGGAAGTATGGTCTGGTTCAGGTGTTCTTCCAAAAGTATCTTGCCAAAAACTCTGGTGCTGAGGATCTAAGAACAAAACAAATAAAGCAATTGAAGTTAGGCTGGAATAGATCCTGTGTAACTCCTGACCTCTCCCACATCTCCCCCAGATACAATTCCCAGTGAGAGCTCACTGTTCTTCTAAAGAGAGATTTGTTCCTACTTGTTAGTTTTGCTTAGGATGTGATAGAAACTGTAGAAAATAATACCCTGTAGGTTTTGTTCAAATATTTCCTCCTTTCCTTCCCTATCCCAGAAATATTTCCTTTTTTAACTTGTTTTTAGCCATTCCACCTGACCCTTCAATATTTCCATATTTCAAGGAGATTTAGCCAAATGGTGTGTTTCCATGGCTGATATGCAGCAATAATGCAGGGTTAATACCTAATTAGTTCCCAGGGACATTGAGCTTTTCATGGATATTCAGTAACAAAAGCAACAACAAACAAGCTGAATTCCTAGGTCTTAATTCATCGGGGAGGAGGAAATAGGAACCTAAAAATGCAGGAATTATTCAGTGCAGTCTGAGAGCCCTGTTCTTTCTCTCATGAAGCCCAGAGGATGCTATAGTAGCTGACAGGGGAAATATAACCTCCTCCTTCTGCTTCCCTCCCTCCTTTCAGGGGGGCTGTAGATGTGTCTGCATTTGCAGCCCTGACATCTCCAAACAGGAAAATTCCCAGTTCTGCAACACACTTTAAACAGCTCCCTGCCCATTCCCCTCCCTGCCTCAGCCCCCAGCCAACCTGACCCTGGGTTTTTTGACATCCAGCCATACCTGATCAGTCGTATCCCCAGCAGCTGGATGTGATCAGAGCTGGCCTTCCACCTCGCAGGATGGCGAGCATATGGGCCCTGGGGCTGCAGCCATTATGTTCCTGAGCACTGAGCTTGTCTGCCCCTGGCTACAGAGGGTTTCTTCCCCTCTCAAGCAATCGCAAATAAACCTTTCTGATAAGTAACAGCAAAACAAACAGGCCCTTTGGCTCTGTAGCCAGTGAGAAGGAGGGAGGAATAAAAACCTGACCCAATAACAAAATCTTTGCTGTGTTTAGGCAGTGCCTCCAGGATGGAGAAGCTGTCTGCCCTCAGCAGGCAGAACTTTTCTGGGAGCAGGAATGGTTTCAGGATGATTAGCCCTCAGTGCTTTACAGCCAGGCCCTGGTGTGGGAGCTCCAGAGGATGGAGGAGGTTTGGCTCAGAGATCAGCCCTGGAGATCATCTGGACCATGAAAGGGAGGCTTTGAGCTGACCCATGTGGGCAGTCTGGTCTCAGCCTGGAAATGAGGGAGTTGAAGGCTGAGAGGTGTGAGAGTTCTCAGCCCTGAGCAGGAGGGTGGTGCAGTGCAAGAGGTCAGGGCAGCTGTGGGAAGAGGCTGGGGACAATCCCAAACGGCCTCCTTACATCGTTCCCTATTTTCAGAAAATTTCCAAAAAGTGTCTCAGGTTCTGGAAGGGCTCACAGGAGACCTCTGGCACTTGGCACTGTGTGTGCCAAGTGAAGTGTCCAAGTCTCCATGTCCTGGGGGTTCACTGTGGTGCTTGGAGAGCTCAGGAGGGGTTCCTGAGTGTCCCCACCACCTTGGTGTGACGTGAGCACTGTGGAAAGCTTGAGGCAATTAAGAGATTTTTGTGCAGAATGTATTACAAAAATGGTGGAGTTTACCTTCCTTTCCTGAATGCCAAGGAAATAAGGCTTCAGCCTTCCCAGACAATTCTGGCTTCCCAAAATTTATGTGGCTTAGAGTATGTGTATTCCAGGACATCGAGATGGGACCTGACATAGTCTTAAAACTATAGTCTAATTAAGGATGGGAAGAACAGCCTCATTTTGCTCTCTGAACCCTGCTAATACAACACCCACTGTTGCTACCCTGTGTGTGTGGTACTTGAATACCCAGGGCCACAGGAACCTGGATAAACAGACAGGGGAAAAGCTTGCTCTGAGATGTTAAAAAAATATGATGAAAGGTGATGAACTGAAAAGCTGCCTGCTAACACAACCCCTCTCAGGCCAGGACTTTGTGTTCTGGGTGAATGTCCCATTTCTCCAGGGCTCCTTGAGGGGCTGAGCCTCTCCAGTGCCCTCCCAGCTGATGGTAACTGCAGTCAATAAATGATGGACTTTTTCCACTTGGAAGCCAGACCTGTGAGGAGCCTTTGAACCCTTTGTCTGGGCAGATATGGCCAAGGTTATCACCCTGGCAGGGCCATGGTGAGCTTGGCCACTGCCTTGAAGTGCTGCCAGAGTCTGCAGCAGGCTCGTGCTGAGAGGCTGGGAGCACATGAAGGACCCGTGGCCCTGTCACCTCGGGCTGACAGGGGCCAGAGCACTGATGTCACCACACAGTTACAACAGATGGTACCAGGGACAACCAGTGTCGCTGCCAATGTCTCTTCTCCTTCAGCAGCAATTGCTCCTGTGGAGTGATGGAGCTCTGCACCCCATAACACTTGAACTGTAGAGAGGAGCTGGAAATCCATCTGGGGAATGCATTCAGAGAGGGGAAAATAAGAGCATAAGCCGTGGGATCAGCACCAAGTGGGCCAAACATTGCTGTCAATTATGTCCCAAGCAGCTCCATTGAAGCAAACAGCATTAATTGTAGATTTATGCCAGCATTTCTGAGAGTCACTCCTGGGACACAGCCAGTTCTGGTAGAGGATTAATCTTGTTGGAAAACTCCCTCTTGTTCTTTGCTTGGTGTCTGACACTTGCACATGCACACAAACAAATCTCAGTGACCCTCTGCCAACCCAGTTAACTAGCAGAGAATTTGGGGATGTGAAACCTTAGCCTCCCCTCCAGCACAGCCCTGCATCTGCCACAGCCCTTTTGCAAGGCAAGACAAGCCACCTGCTACTTGTTTTGCTCAAAGAGAAAATGTCTGTTGGGCACATAGGAAACAGCCAATCTGGTCCCACGGGAGGGAGCATTTGTCATTCCCACAGTCTCCAGCACAGGTACTCAGCACCTTCCAGGGCTGGGAATTTTCTTTGGGTGTTCTTCACCTGCCAGTAGTTCAGTGGTTTGCTTTATCTGATGGGGGTATTTTTCAGACATTGACATTTGGTCATTTACCTCAGGACACAGAAAAATGCAGTGTGTTCTATCCCCACACATGCATCCCTTCTCAGCTTGAAAGAGAGAGTCATACATTGTGTGTGCAGAGTGTGTGTCCCCTTTACATATGGACACATATTTAATGATGGGACATTTGTGGTGTTCAAGGTCTTCCAGAAACATGGATCTTCTCTAGTTCTGACTTCTGTCTGTGCCTTAAGGATGGTCAGTGGCATCCTCTCACCTCACTTCTACAGTGTCATTGCACTCCATGTAACTCTGGAGTGTGCTTTTTATTTTCTTTTAGTCCAGATTTGCCAGTGGAAGTGCTCCAGATGCTTCCCTGAAGTCTCAGCAGCAGAAAGGATAGTATAAAGGTCTTGAGCAGCAGGCTGGGAATGCCTCCATTCCTCAAGAACAGCAGGCTCAGCTCTGCAGGCTGCTCAGCCTTTCCCCCTTCCAAGGGCAATAAATTGAATACCATTCAGTTTACTGCCTGCCCACAAGTTTCAAGTGGAAGAGGTGAAGCAGAGCCTGAGGCCAGCCACACCATGGGTACAGATCAGTGTGGCTGTGCTGGCTTACCCCAGCTGTGGGGCTGGCCCCGAGGTTTTGTGTTCACATTACCCTGGGGCTCTTATTGCAGGAATGCAGGGTTAGCCAGATGTGCTGGTCACAGCATCCCCTCCCCTCCTGAAGTGACAGGGAACCAGCTGCCACTCCCTTTGCCACTGCCCTTGGAGCAGCCTGCTGTGGCCTGCCTGCAGCATGGAAGGTGCTCTGGGATCCTTGGGAATGGCCACCAGCACATCAGTGCTAGCCGTGCTCCAAGACACAACACTGAGAGAGTAAGAGCAGTCAAGGAACTTTTCCCCTTGGAAATGATGTTCATCTCCTCCCCCAACCCAGCATATGGAATTCTGGATCACATTTCTCTCTCTTGCCAATAAATATTGCAGATTTATTGCTCTCTACCTGGTGGGTAGTAAATTGCATTCCACCTCTGTTATAAGGCTCTTTGCTATGACACAGTCTTGCAGCTCCATTAAACCTTAATTACAGCAACACTTCATTGGGTTGCTGTGATGGCCCGAGTGCCATTGCAGTAGGGAGGATGTATGGCCAAAACAGGCTGATGCAGAGGGGCTTTGTTTTGTTTTCTTTCCTCCCTTTTAAGGATTATGGAGAGTTGAGCCCAGCAAGGGGAATAGAGGGAGCCTCGGCCTCCTGCTCTCTGCTCATTTTCCACAACAGCTGGCGTCACCTGCCACAGCCCCGGCAGCTCCTCTGTGCCTGATGAAGTGCTCAGCAAACAGCCTTGCAGGCTGTCTCTGCTAAAGGGCTGATTTGCATTTGTGCTGATGGGATGCATCCCAAAGCCAGAGTTATCCCTGGGTTTGGTTGCGTGAGGAGCGTGGAGTTTGGCCAAATGGAACAGCAGGAGCAGCACAAGCCCTTGGATTTCTACAGGCTGCAGCAAGATGAATTTAAGAGCAGCTCTGCTGGTGTGCAGGCTCGCCCTGCAGCAGGCAGCTTGCTCTGTGTCAGCTCAGGGCGCTGTTTCTGGTGCCATCTGTCCTCCCTGCAGCCTGTGACAGGGACTGAGGCTTTGCTCTGGCTGCTGAGGCAGCTCCTTGGAGGCCAGTGCTCCTGATGTGTTCCCCAAGCTCCCCTGGCCCTGCTGCCTGAGGTCCCAGGAAAGGCTGGGAGAGGGTGGAGGGCTCGGTGCCTGTGGACGTTGCCTGTGTGGACAGAGAGGATTCTTGTTTCCCCTCTCCAGCCAGGCATGGAGGAAGCTCAGCCTGGAGCTCCAGGAGAGGCTGCCCAGTGCCTGTGCTCCCTCCAGACTGAGTGGGTTCTGCTTGGCCTTATGGCTTTTGTTTTGGAGATCCTTCCCGGTGTGGGATGAGTCCCCCAGCCCCTGATGCAGGTTCAGTAGGAGTGTGCATTGTACAGACACTTCTCCTCGTGTGGATGCTCAGGCCTCTCTGTGGGATGATGAGCTAACCAGAAGGCTCTAATGGCTACACCAGCTACTTGGATTTGGTGCTGTTCCAGAGGCGAGGCTGTGTTGTCAGATCTGCCCAGGACAGGACTGTTTCATTCCCAGTTTGGAAATTATTTGCTTCCTTGGCCATACTGGTGTGATACCAAGGGTCGGATGTGGAGTAGCTATGCCAGTAACCAAAATGCTGAGAATATCTTCAGGATTCCCTTTGCCTTCAGTACTGATCCAGACTGTTGTGGTCACTCTGTGTAATGCTCATCACCCTTGTAAGTCCACTTATGTGAACAAGGATGTTTATTTGACTGCATTTTGCCACACCTATAACTTTATCTGGTCAAACATCCACACAGGGTGTACTCAGTATCCACAGGGAGTTGCAGATAGGCAGCACAGAAATCTTCTACACCACTGCTAGTGCAGAAAGCAGCTACCAGGAATCAGCTAAAATCCTTCTGAATATTGAGTTGCTGAACTCTTTTAAAAAACAACCAACACATGGGAAATACTTTCCTATGGAGAGCCTGTGTTCAAGCCTTGTTTGTCCTTATTCTCCCCCTTGCAGCAACCTTGAGATGTCAGACGTAGGAAATGTGGCCACAGCTGTTTATGCACTTAGAGGGTTTCTTCCAAGGCCACATCCTTCTATTCTCCTGTAGATTACTCGAAAAGATGCTGTGGGGACTCCAGCAAGCCAAGGTCTATGTGCCATGTGCAGGTGTTGCCAGGAGATTGACATTCTGAACATTTGAAAACTATCAGAGAACTCATTTGGTGGTGGGTTTTCCCCCTCTCCTCCTTCCTTCCCTCTCGATCTGTGTGCTGCAAGACTTTTTGCTGGAGATTGATATTTCTAGCAG